AGCAGCATCAGCATGTTGTCACACTCTGTGATGCCCATGGCGTAGAGATCACTGAGGACGTTAGCACACGCTATCCTGCCCTGAAAGACAGACAGACAGAAAGACAGACAGACATTACATAAAGAACCACACTGTAAGGTAATTTAGATTACACAACTAAATGGTTGCATCTGCATAGAGATTGATTCTCTAGAAACCAGCCCATGTTGTGAAAGTTGACAAAATAGTCTTAGGCCTATGGGGCGCATTCGGAAATACTTACTCTGACGGCCGGGGAGCACTCTGGCACAAACTGGACCATTTGTAAATTCAGAGCAGCAGAGTGCACTCTCTCTGGGTAGATGGAGCCGCAGAGCGCCAAGCTGAGTCAATGTTTGATGAACTTAACCGTTGATTCACATAGAAATAGAATGCTCTGTTTCTTCAGACAAAAGCGCTCTTATTTTAGTGTTGAGGGACAGATTTGATTTGCGAACCCACACTAAATGTCATTACAAGGCTTCAGCGGTTTCACAGTATTACAATATATCAGGATATTTAAAGATCCTGATGGTATTTTTCAATACCGTCAAAAATAAAGACGCTCCTCTTTTTTTTATAACGGATACAGAAATGCTGAGGTGATGTAGTGCACAGCATATGCCTCCAGAGGTCAATGGTGCAATCGTGGAACCCACTGGTTTTTGGTATGATGACCTCTGGGGGCAAGGACCGATATTTTGGGCTGATCCATCGTAGCCAGTGGATATCTGGGCTAAGACTTCATCTTCCTTGCGCCCCTCATTACAGCTAATCTCTGATTAGATATCTGCATGGGAATGCAGATACATTTAAAATAATACAGAGCTAACTCATCACCGGACATAGCCGATGGGTTCCAAGATTGCATTTCAGCCAATGCCCACTGCCTCTCCACACCGACTGTTTACATGCAGTTCAAATGTGATTGGTCAATACTACTTGGACTAAAAAAGACTAAAAATGACATCAGTGTAATTCCAATACCAAAATCTTCTCCGGTCTCCAGAATCTGTTTGTAGAGATTACTACTGGTCAAACAGGCAGCTGAGCTGAGAAAGATGACGACTGCGAGTAGCTGGGATGACGTTACAGGATCAGTAAAAAAAAAAAAAACAGCAGTAAAGCCAGCATGTTTTTACATCTAAGGCTTTAATTCAACCAAACCAGGGTTAATGAATGTTTGGAAAAAGTAAAAGAATAACTAAAATGGTTTTGGTGAGTTTTATTTTGTTTTTGTCAAGTTTGAATGAAGTGTGTTTTACAACTAGTTAACAAGGGAATCAAGCTAAGTCTTACTTCAGTAAGAGAGAGAAACTTGAATTCAAAAGGTGTAAGGTTGTATTTTTCCTATTAATAAGGAAAAAAATGAAAAAAATATTTTCTTTCTTGTCTTGTAAGCTTTAAAAAAGTAAGAGAGTCAGTGGAACGTAGTCAACCTGCTGCCCCGGGGGGTGGAGGTGTTTGCTTAGTTAGTTAGTTTTTTACACAAATACCATCATATACTGCATGACCCACCCTTCCCTTCCTCTGATTGGCTACTACTCATTGCCTTCATTGGTTGGGTTGGTTAGGTGTAGGCAAGAGAAGTGAGATTGTTTAGGGTTAGGGTAAGAATATCAGGGAAGCCAATCAGAGGCAGACTAAGGCAGAGTAGGGCGGGTCATGAGTTTTGGCCATACCAAAGTGAAATGTCAGTGAGCTACAAAGGTATGAAAAAACAGATACCCCCACGCCTAATCACTGCGTCTCATATATAGGCTACATATAAGGCTCTCACCCGCCTCCAAGTTATGTGTAATGTGTACCTTTCTCTAAACAGCAAAGTTAATACTTCCTGAGGTTATCTCAGTCGTTAATTCACTACCAGTACAGTGATTTGCCTACTGTGGCCTGTAAGTCAGGATATTTCTGGTCTAATAATGCCTGTATGTTCATGACATAGGCTACATCACTGATGAACCGAACAGTAAAGGTAAGTGTTAATGGTTAGTTACTAACAGTACTTAGCAGAAATAAATTTGTTCTGCACGCTCCTACAGAGTCAACAATTTAATTTTGGCCCAATGTATCGTGTTTTTATTTTCTATACTGAATGAAATAATTACAAGGATATAAGGACCCTCAAACTGATTATCCTTAGTTATCAGTTGGACATAGCAATATACACAGCTCAACTTGCAAGAATTTTGCCTCTATATAGCTTATACTGAGAAATCAGAGTTTAAAAATGAGAACTGTAGTAGAAAGGTATATGTCAACTTTTCCACAGTTGGTAGATGAATAACAGAGTTTATGAAAGGCGTGTTACATCTGTCAGCACCTGGTGATAGTACAACTTCAGGATCCTAACAGTAAATGCATCACAAAATACACAACACATCACAAACTACACATTGCTTAGGGTATAGTAAACTCACAGTATACAGTGAGTGCACGATTTACCCACAATTTATGAGCACGGTGCACAGGGGAAAAGGCAATAAAAACAAATGATTGATTAACTGATTAGTCAATTAACAGAAAATTAATAATATTGTTTTAATTCGTGAAACAAGAAAATGATTGGCAGATTTATCAATCCAAAAACTTGATGTCAGCAGATGATTTATTTCACCACAAATATTAGTGTGTTTGGACAGCCTTACTTCCTGGATGGTTTCCCAGCAACAGCAGGTTGCCCATGTATGCGCGGTTCCCTGGGGGAAACACCTGCTACTACTCACCATCATGTAAGGATCCTCCACCAGAGGGTAGAAGAAGTCTGTGGTCTGGACCAGTGAGAGCCCTCCATGCCTCAGGGGAATCACACAGCAGTCCATCCCTACACCTGCAAATGGGGAAGGAGAGACACTTGTGCAGTGTTTTGCAATGGTATGCAATAGCAATAATTATGAACCTGTTGCAAGTGTTGAGAGTGACAGTATTACTTTAATAGTTTGTATGTGTACTTGTGGCGGTGTTGTTTACTGAAAGTAGCATTTTTATAGGACTTTTACATGAAATTACAATGCAATCTATGAACAGAACTCAGTGTAACTAGCGTGACACACAATGCTTTCCACATACTGTAGGTTGCACAGCCTCTAAATCCCGTAAACTGAGTACAGCACTTCCACTCACCATTGCGAAATGTCTTTACAAGAAGAAATGTTTTACCAACAGCATGAACTTTGCACTGAACGCATCAAAATATTTCTGCTGAATCATACCTCTGGTAATTTGACAACTCACGGAACTCATGTCCTCATCTTGAACACTATGGTAGCTAGCTAGGTTACTATAACGTTACGTCATGTTAGCTTAGTGAAAACTTACGACTTCAAGTACGTTAATTTTAACAAGTTCGATAGCTGAGGACTAACGTCATCAGAAACACGTTGTTTTCATTCTCCCATAGCTGTCCATCTGTCAAATGAGCTGCCATACGAGTTAACACAAGCTAGCACTGTTAGCAACAGTTAAGCTAGATAACTGACGTTAACGACAAGGCTATCTGACAGGATGCATGGGACATGAAAGCTAGCTTTGCTCATTCCCTACTCGTTTCTTACCGAGTCGGGGGGCAGACAACTGTTGGCCGAACTCCGATGCTTGGTCTCCGGCCTTCCCTGTCCCGTCGGCCCGGTCCGCCTCCAGTCCCGCCAGGAGTTTGAGCAGAGCCTCCTGCGGGACCTTGCAGCCTCATCCTTTCATGTCCGAAAAGGCTGTGAGACGGAACCCGCGCTCCAGGCCGTGCTCTTCGGGTTTAAAAGGCTTGTAGCCGGGGGGAAAACACCCCTCGGCTCCCACAGCCTCCACAGAAGGAGGCGGGGAAGTTGAGCCTGACATGCCTGCCTGAAGACCACTTCAAACAACCAACGCTAGTCGTGTTCACCGGTATATAAAGACGCAGAGATGAATGGAGCGTGTGTCCGGCGAGCGCTGCTTGTAACAAGAGACTGGAGTCAAGTAAAATCAAACTAGTGCGACTTCCTGTCAGAACTTTTCGCCGTAAAATTCATAGTGTATGTGTCTATTCAATATTCACGTATCCTAAACCTCAGGCTTATGCCAGATGACTTTGACATTGAACTTGGACAACTACATTTTTAGAAAAGGGCAATTCAAACCCATAGCGAAGGCAGAGTCGTCAGAAATCTAAGGGCAGACGTCTTATTTTGAAGGCGTAATTGATAACTTCCGGTTCCTTTCTGCGTCTTGCTTGATGATTGTGAAACGTTACCATCTGCTCTCACTGTCAGGTATTGATGTTTATATATTTCTGTGGACCCATTTATCTGTTCTGGGATTACTTGATAACACTGAACTATAACATACTGTAAAATATGGCTGTTGGGACGTTTTCAACTGATTTTCACTCGGGGTGGGAATCGCCGATATATTGTAATTTACTACCTGTTTTCAACTGCAAATTATGTTTCTAAATGTGCCTTTTTCAACATATTTTTTCTAGTAAGATAAAGTTTTAAGTCAGTTCATCTCACTTTAATCATTTTTATTGCAGTAAATTGTATCTAGTGGACTTAAATAGTAATTAATTCTATTATTCTGGCAGGCTACCATAGTAATTACGATTAACATTACTATTTGTAATGTTAGTAGTATACTTGGCGTCAGTGTATTGATACGATATCGCCACTCAAAAATATTGCGATACTATGCCGTTTAATTTTCACCACATCATTGTTGGTAGAGGTGACTTGTTCAGCAATTCTGGTGTGAGTAGCCAGTGCTAATAAAGAATTGTGGAGGAATAAAATCACAGTGGGGCATCAGCTCTGCTCGACTGGAACTCTACCAGGAAGGAAACTTTATTGACACATGCACATTGACATATGTATGAATGTCATTGGCTGTTATCACTGTCCATCATACAATACCTGCATTAACTCACGAAGTTTGCCTGTCAACAATCGTTCATGTCTTCCCAGCCATAGCTTACTACACTAAGGTTACACACAAGATAAAACACACAGAAGGACTAATGAATAACTGATTTATTTTGTAAATCTTCAACACTTTGAAACAATATTCTTTGCACCAAATTATGTATAATTACAGACAATATTCACACAAATTGTGAAGGAACCCTCAGTGTGCTTACCTTCCAATAGATAGTCAGGTGCCACAGGTAAAGATGAGACAGAATAAGGGGCACAAATAGAGCTATGTTGGGTAAAGGGTCAGGTCTAGCATCAGCGATAAAGCAGTGGTGCAGTTAAAGGTGTACACAGGCACAGAACACAGAGAATGGCTACTTTTTTCAATAAGAGTAAATCCATCTCTAATACATAGTAATACATGTTTTGAGGTAATGCAGACAGCAACATTTATGACCAAAACATATTTGAATACTCTATATTATTTAAAGCTCACTAGGGTACATTGTCATGTGGTTTCCTCCTTTGAGGGAAAAAGTACTCCTCTCAACTGTCACTTTTTCACCTTATGCCCAATGATTATTGATGTGTATAACATGGATGATGTAGTCAAAGTATACACACTTATTCCACAGTATGTAGTTACCTCCTCAGTTCCCACTATGCCACTAGAGTAAGGAGGGTATCAGGGATCATATACAAATACTGATGGAAATTTGCATCAGTGTGCCATCATGGGGAGGGGCAAGAGTGGGCATACAAGAGGAGGTGCTGGGAGAAAAAAGAATGATGAAAAAGGATGAGTTGCAGAATGGAAAAGCTACAATCTATGGAGCACTTTGAGGAAAATACCATGCTGATTATCTTGCTGTCATTCTTTTCTTTCAGTTGTTCATACTGCCATCCGATTGCCACTTGATTCTAACATTCAGTTTTTAAAATTAAAAGATCCACAGTATGTATCCAGGTTTCTGTATGTGTGTGTACATGACAGAAATATTAAGGTGCAACTACCAAACATGTTTTTCCAGGCTGTGCCCAGAGCTGGTAGGAGACACAAGGAACGTCAAAAATGTAAATATACTGTATATATAAGTGTTGGTGTCATGGTGTGCTGAGCTATGCCCAGGTTACTGTATACAGTCCATGACATGTATCTGCAGCGTGTCCATATCTGGAGCCTGGTACTGGCACTTAGGACAACATAAATCTGGGAGCTCCTCAGCTCCGGCTGCCCCTTGATCACCGACTGGTACCAGACCCTGATTGCGGAATGAGGGGGCAGGGGGCACTGTGTTGAAAGCTGCACAAAGGAAAGAAAGCATTTTAAAACAACTTCTTACCAGGAAAAAAAAAAAAAACTAATTTATTAATACATTTCCCTTTTTTTTGTTTTAATGGGACCACAAAGAGTGAGTGCACAGTGGTCACTACAGCAATCCACATCTCAAAAGACAATTTCTTGTATGGGCTGCATGGGTTTCACTGGTGAAGCTGCACAACAGTGGTAAAAGAAACAAAGTATATTTACTTAATTATTGTGCTTAAGTAGAATTCAGAGGTACTTTACATTAATATTTCTATTTCTTGCCTTCATTACATTTCTGAGGGAAACTTTTTAACTGCACTTTTATTTACAAAACAAGAGTTTTTCAAATGATACATTATAATAAAATCAAGGGAATACTTCACCTGCAAAATGACCATTTGTATAACAATAACTCACTGTGTGTTACCTTCATTTTGTGAACAAAACTCTGTTTTTCTCGCATGCCTCCACGGTGAACAAAGAATCCAAAGAAGGCAAACATCCTTAATAACTGAAGTAAAGTGTAAACTGTTAACAGCAAAACTAGTATATCAAAACATCTGCTTACAAACTCTCACACATCTGGTGCAGTATAATCGTATAAGTATGATTTATCCAGTCATATGCTCAGTCCTTCACAAACACATGCATTTTCGCTAACATATTACAATTTACAACACTTCAGTACAAACAGTCTCATGCGCAGCAGAATAGTGTGCCTGGACACACTGCTCAAGCAGAGCTCTTACCCATGCATGTACTTAGGTATGCTCAGAATGCACTACTGATGCACAGAAGTGTTTTATGTTATGAGGTTTTAGGGAAAATGCATGTGTTTGGGAAGGACTGAGCAGACGACTAGATAAATGACACTTAGGTTAAACTACACCAGTTGTGTGAGAATTTGTTAACGGATGTTTTGATATAATTTTGCTGTTTGCTTTGTTTGTTTTTGGATTCTCCCTGCACCATGGAGGCATGCGAGAAAAACAAAGTGTTCTTCCCAAATTCAAGATAACACATGGTGAGTAATTGACAAATTAATGGTCCATTTGCAGGTGAGGTATTCCTTTAAATGTCCCTTTCACAATGAAAAAGTCGTCTTGGGCCCAAGAGCATCACATGACGGACCTAAAGGTTGTAATTCCATGGTTTGTCCACTACGTCAAATTGGCTTCAAAGCCCAGCGCTTAGTTAGTGGGGGAGATATGTGATTCGGGTGAGAAAACAAAGGAGTGGCCTGACCCTCATTGTTTTTTTTTGTCAAAATTGTTATCATATCCACTAGGCAAGCCTGGGGGGGGGGGGGGGGGGGGGGGGGGGGGGGGGGGGGGGGGGGGGGGGATCATGTGTTTGGTCTTGTGCATGCGTGTGAGTGAGTGCGAGCCTCTATCTGTCTGTCTGCACCTAATCTTGCAAACTACTGGACCAATAAGCTTAATATTTTATGCGCACATGTATGGACCTCTAATGGTTGTGGTAATTCACAATTTTTGAAAATCTTGTTTTACTGACTATTATACCATGCTGACTCCTCACTCCTCTTAATTCGCCACTAAGGGCCACGATTCCTCAGCATGAGCACATAGCAAAGGCATGGAGCAAAGGGCATTTCTGGCAGTCCACTCAGCTAGAAACAAGAAGCCTTACCATCTGTTGCAGGCCACATTTTGGTGTTTGTAGTGGCTCAAAAACTGACATCCATAAAAAAGTTAAGTCTCACTTTGAACTGGAGAATCTGCAGATTAATTCCATGCCAAATATAATAACTGTGTTATGATATGTTATGATCCACTAAAGTAAGGGAGGATATGAAATGGGGGCAAAAAAAAAAGTTTGTTATCTCCGCCGCCATCTTGACTGTAAGAGAGCCTGGAGGAACAGTTCCACTGGGTGCAGCTGTGCTGTGTGTATTAACTAGAGTGGCAGTGATCAGATTTGGTGGCAGTCTGGCAGAAATCTGCACTCTACAGAGTGCACTTTTCTAGTTAACTATATAATCTATTATTGAAATATGTTGAAAATTTACATGGATTTTTGAAACTTTTCTGACGCACTTAAATTCATACATGAAAGGCTTAAAAAAAAGAGCATCTATGTGCATGTAATTTTGAATTTGTTCTTTTGTATGTTTTGGGTGTAATGTACCTTGTGGGGGTGGGATGCGTGGGGCCCGTGTTGTAAAGTCGTCCACGTGTCGCAGCTTCATCTGCTCCATACGTAATCTGAAACAGAGGTGTAAAAAGACAACTCTCATGTTTACCCTAGGGCTGTAGTGTCCTGGGTGACTAGTTGGTTATTTGGTCGCTATGCTCTCATCCGACCAAATTCTCATTAGTCAAATAATCGCCGTATTACTTTCATAAGGAGAACAGTGCTACATCAACAACTTGCCAGGATTAATCCAGTATTTCCTGTGGTGGGGGGACAGGCTAAGTTACCTGTGAAAATGGGGGTGTTATCAAAACACCCCCTTTGGACTCGCCCACCCTCAGGCTCAGTGTCGCGTTGATGCCGACCTCCTGTCAGTTTCTGTAAGCTGAAACCATTTCCCTTAGTGGAAACGAAGCTTGTATTTACTTGTATTTCTAGTGATGGTGACATCAAAGTTTCTTGAAGCATTGAACCACTTTGACACACCTGCTTCAAGAATGACACACTGCTTTGAAGCATTTCATACAGTCAGAAGAGTGACATCTGCTGGCTGTGTGTCAGAACTGCATCTAAGTGGAAGACCTGGAAAAGCCTCAAGACTGCCTGTCACGAGCCACGTGATTGTGGGCGTGCCGAAGCAAGGATCTAAACACTGCCTCGGAACATTTGCGCTTCATAAGATCGACACTGTGTCGGGCAAACTGGCTCGAGCGTAACATCACTATGTATTTCACAGATAAAAAACAATAAATTGTTAAGACAGTAAGGCCTCCACTAAAAAAGCATTTTAAGTCGTGTGTGTGATTTATCCTTCAGGGATTTATACTTCGGGATTTATCCTGGCTTCATATAAGCAGAGGAAATCTCTGCTCATCGCTAGGCTAATGTATACCATATAAAATGTCATAGGCTGCCGCTAATAACGTTAGCATGTTGTATTTGCTTGGAAAACGTGTTTAGTATAAGACAATTGTTTTGTCGGTGAATGTTGTGAGGTGTAATGGAGCCACATTGAGTGCCGTTACCTTTGTTGAATGTTGCTGTTGTCCTTGGTTTCATATGAGAAGAGGAAAAGATCGCTAGACGCTAGGCTAATGTATACAATGTAAAACGCCATAGACTTGTGCTAATAACGTACTAGCATGTTGTTTTGGTCGGGGAAATGTGTCCAGATAAAGACAAGTGTTTATCTGTCAGTTCTGCGATTTAAAGTGAAGCCAATTTGCGTACTTGTGTTTGAAATTGTCTCTATTAAGCCATGTTTAATGTGTGTTTTGAATCAACTGTATAAATAAAGTTTGATTTGAACTAAACTTTACAGCACTTAACACAGTCCTCCACCGCCGACTAGTGTTTTGGAGGTGTAACTGCAGAGTGACACAGACACACCACCGCAGAAGTAAAGATAACGTGCAGATCCACCCCCCCCCCCCCCACACACACACACAAAAATAATCGATTAGTTGAAGATTATGTGTGACTTTAGTTGACCAAGATTTTCTTTGGTTGACTACAGCCCTAGTTTACTCACACTTTAAAAAATGTCTAGAGAGACAAATATATCTTACAACTTAGAGGACAATCATGGACACAACACCAACTTCTGACATGAAGTGTCATTCTTGACAATGTACCAACAGCTACTGATACTGCATCTGATTAGAGGGCAGGGAGAGGAATGCAGCACACAAGTACTATGTAACTCTGGCCAGAAATAACATGAACAGAGATTTGAACTTTCCTCAAAATCGCCAATTGGAGCTGACAGCAAGATGAGCCATCAACTGTGTGACTGGTGCATAAACATCTGCATTCAGGACACAAATAATTGGAAATGGAAATGGGCCTGTATTTTGTTTTTTTCCCCTTTCAGAATTAACTTACCGTGCTGTGGCCTCCTGCTTAAGCCTGTCAATCTCAGCCAGGGCCTGAGTCAGCTGATCCTGCAGCTCCTCCTTCTTCTGGTTCAGCTTCTCTCTCGCTTCTCGCTCTGCTAGGAAATCTGCCTTGTAAATCTCTGCCTGAGGATAAAAACAGTGAGAGAGGGAGGGACATATGATTCCACTCAACAACGGCCATTTTGTTTCATTTCCGTGTACCTGTCAAAATGAAGGTGTGGCTGATTTGTGCATAGCTGACAAGTGAATCATAGGTAGGGCTTAATTAACTGCCATGATGTTTAGAATGCAATTTTTATTCAAGTGTTGGCTTAGCTTAAATGCAGTGTAAACTGGTTATGTCACTTTTATTGGGGGGTATTTTAAATTCTGGTACATACTTTACTAAAGGAGGGCATTACTACATTTATGAAAAATCTTTAACACTGAATCCTCAAGCTGATGAGACTCTCTGCACCTTCTCCATCACCAAATCCAAAGTTAATTTGCATTAGAGATCACCTCAGATGACTGAAAGTATTATTTAGGCCCTTTCTGCTGTAATGTAGCCAAAGGCAGAACCTAAAAGGCCCTAACATGTAGACCTCAAAGGAAATAAGTAGCACAGCAACATTCCATTGTTGTATATCCCACAACTGCAATTATTTGCCAATCAGCACAAAAAATTGCAGATGTTTGTACCAGTGTCACATTCTAAATGATATATATATGTATATGTCTAAGTCAGAATTACCGCCTCAGGGTTGCGTGCGTTCGCAAACCAGTCAGGTTGCACTCTGTGAAAACATGGCGTCTTCACACATATCTCCCCACGGCAGCACAGAAACTCCATACAATTAGCACATTTTCAAGGTGGACACACGAGATAAGTGTCACCAATTCAGTATCTGACCAATGACTCCCCTTCTGTTCCTGAGATATGACACTGAGTAATGGCCAGAAAAGTGTTTTTGCAGAACATTATAAGGTCAAATTGAAGTTGACCTTTTGGATATAAAATGTCATCACTTCATTATTTGTCCTATTAGATATTTGTGTGAAATTTTTTCATAATTATCATATGAATTCTGGAGTTATGGCCAATAACATGTTTTTTAAGGTCACAGTGACCTTAACCTTTGACCTTCAACCACCACAATCTAAGCAGTTCATTGTTAAGTCCAAGGGGACGTTTTGTCACAAATCTGAAGAAATTTCCTTAGTGTGTTCTTGAGATATTGTGTTCATGAGAATGGGATGGACGGACAGATGGACAACCTGAAACGTAATACCTTTGGCTTCGGCTGTCGCTGATGCGGAGGTATAAAAAGATTCGGCTTTGACATACAAAATTTGATGATCAAAGTAGTACCAAGACCCAGGAGGCTTTACTCAATGGGTCTAATTTTGTCAGAGCAGCTTAAGTCTTTGGAAGCAGAAATTCACTTGTGAATGTATATAAACTCCTGTATTTACTAGACATTACCATTAAATGATAAATATAATGCTTTTATTTTGTTTCTGACTTCATCTTCAAATGTACACAGCAAAACTGTTTTTTCATGAGAAAGGAAAGAGCGAAGGAGATCTCCCCCTAAACCTAATTTTGTCCCCTCCTGCTCTCTGTTGTCACTGTGTTATAACACAGTCAAATTCACCTAGCTGTTTTCATCTATATATTTTTCTGTTGTCAGATAATCATTATTTTATGATCACAACTTTGTCAGATCAAAACAAAAATATAAGTTCATGACAGCGTCTGTGCTGTGAGATCAGCTACACTGACGCGAGCGACTGAGTGATGACAGAAAGTTCAAAGGAACAAAAGGTTGTCATATACAAGAGCAGCCTGAAAGCAACAGTTAAAATTGTCAACAAAACAACTTCTGAAGTGTTTTCAGTGGACACTGAAACTGTGACAGAGCCGTGACAGAGCTGTGGATGGATGCTGGATGCTGTGTGCAGAATTGTCAGCTCAGCCCTCATATTTAGAGATCAATTTAAAACCATTTAAAGCTTACTTAAAGCCAAGAAACAATCAACTCTGTGGCAGATAGGTGGCTGTTTACCTCCTAAACAGTGCTTGTATAGGCCTAGTTTTATACAGAAACTGAATGTAACTGTTGACACAAGCAAAAGACTAAAAGTACTATTGAATGGAGGAAGTCAGAAGCAGTGTCCTCAATGTACAGAGTTATAAGCAGTGATGCAATTGCCTGCTGGTGATTGTAATGAAGTGAATAGTGGTGCAATACTTAGTTTGGAAAAAAAGGGAACAAACTACAAAGTCAGTGACTACATAACTGAACAGCACATAACAATGCAAATGGACAAAGTGATTTCTGTGCAGATATGCTCAACAGCTGTGTGACTGTACTTGTGCAGTGAGGACCGGAACAGTCTCCAGGGAGCCTTTCTGTTGCTCCACCTCCTCCTTCAGTTTATCAATCAGATCCTGCTTCAGGGCCAGCGCTCGCTCTGCCTCCTCTAGTCGGCTACACAGATCTCCTCCCTGGAAGACACACACGCACAACACACACAAACAAATATTAAGACATCAATCCATAAGAGCTAAATAGCAAAACTAATGAGAATAAATAGAAGTTTAAATGTGTTTTTACCTCACTCTTCAGTTTGGAATCATAGTCTCTAAACAGACATGTGTAGGCATGCTGCAATTGTGTCAGTTTTTTCCTACGAGGAAAACGAGGAATAGAAAATTTTACCATTCAGTATTGCATCAGATTTCAAATGTCATGCTGGTAACAGTATTGAAGTTTTTTTTTTAAAACCCAGTAGCAAACTGGAAACCCCCTGACATATATCTTGTGAGCAGAAGATGAAATGTCAAATGTGTTATCTTTTGTGAACATCTTTTTTCCACAAGATCAAAAAATATATTTTTTGGGACTTTGACATATGTGATACCATGGTACTCAACAGGAGCTTCTATTTTTCTGATCATTGAATGTTTAATACCACAAACAACTTCTATTAAGTGAAAAGTTGTTTTTTAATGCATGTGAAAGCAGTCTCTCTGTTATACATCTTTCTAAACATCACAAAAGTACAAAATGATCTGTGTTTGCATTTGTTGAACCCACTTCTCCTCTGTGACGACGTGTCTCTCCGTCTTTAGGGCCTGTTCCAGGCTTTGGGTCTGCAGCAGCAGCTTGTCCATGGCCACATGATGCTGCTTCCTCTGCTGCTCCAGCTCCCGCTCTGCCACCTGCAGGGCCTTCACCTTATTGCTTAGCCTGCACACAAGTACAGTAGAAAGAAACACGTCAGCACACATGCAACCTACAGAGGAACACAGAGAGGTCTCTACATATGTATTTATGCTGACGTGACATCTTACTTGTCATCCAACATTTTGCGTTCATGCTCGCTCTTCTCCAGGCAGCTCTGCCTCTCATTCAGTTCTCCTAATAGGGACGTTGCTTGAGCTTTCAGAGCCTCACAGTCCTTGGCCAGCTGTTAACATACAAAATGCTTTAAGGTATTGTGGTTACAGTTGACATTATACAGCTGCTTGGTACAGCGCCACCTGTAATTTCAGTTGTTAAAAGATTTGAAATTTTGGCTTATGGTCATAGGAGTGAAAAAATCACAGCAGTTCATAGTTCACACCTGGGCACAGTCCTTGTCCTTCTGTTTGAGCAGAGCTTCAGTTCTGTCCCGCTGAGCTGAACTCTTCTGCAGATAATCAAGCTTCTCCTCCAACTCACGATACCTACAGACACAATAGATCATAACTCAGCTGGGGTAAATTTCAATAGATATACATATACTATATATTATTACAATACACTGTATATGTATCAGTACGACAAAGGAGGGCTGAATGATCATTTTTATGCAGAAAGTGCGATTTTAAAGAGTTTTCGCAAGAGTTGCAAATTTATGAAATTCTCACTTACATAATAATGCTGTCTTTACAAGCTGAAGTAAGTGATAGTTTAAGCTGTTGACCGTTGATCTGAATAATGACTGTCCCCAGCAAATTTATTCAGCTGTAACTAATCAATGTTAATTGTGTGTAGTGATGGAAGAAGTATTCAGATCATTTACTTAAGTCAAAGTAGTAATACCACACTATGTAAAAAGTCCTGTTTTTTTAACTAAAGTTAAAGTACAGAGGTACTGGCAACAAAAGTAAAGGTGCCAGTTATGCAGAAGCCCTGTCTTCTGCATAACTTACAAGGCACCACAAATGAACATAAACCAGCTGATTCTGTGAGTATGAAAGGAACACCACTGTATATTTTTATGTTTGTAAAACTAAGAAGTGGGCAGTACCTTTTTGCTGTAGATAGTACAGAGATAGTACATCCTAATATTGTTCTACATTTATAATCATAAAAGCTCTGAAGTGAAATCTGCAGCATAAACAGCAGTGAAGCAGCTCTAAGTCTGTGATGCTAAACTTAACATTAGCTTAAGCAGCTACAGAGCAGAGCGGTCAACAGTAGCATTAGGTGTCGCACATTTTGAATATCAGATCATATTTATAATGTCAAGTTAACTACTTATAATATTTAAATGTGGGCTAAATTTGTCATTTTCCTACAGAACAATAGGCAAGTTGACTTTTCTCAAGAAAAAAAAAAAAAGATATAAAGAGAGGATATCAACAACATGTAACTCTTTCAATAAAGATTTTACTCTGTATGCCCTCAATGTCAGTTTTTCTGGCAGAGGATCCTTTAAGTCCTGTGGGTTGTGAGGTGGGGTAGTTGCATGTCCCACAGATGTTTGATCAGATTGGGATCAACTGGGGAGTGCCAATGCCATGAGGTGCTCTGCAACATTGTTTTGGGGGGTGGACTGTGTTAAGTGGCATCCATATGAAAGCCAGGACGAAAAGTTACCCAGCAGAACACTGCAATGTAACAAGCTGATCAGTATTATTCACTTTACCCATCAGTGGTTTTAATGTTCTGACTGATCGGTGTATAGAGCCCAGTCCTAGCCAGTTTGATGTTAAAAGGTAAGCTAACAAAACACAACTTGTAATCCTTTAATGTAAAGACAGGACAGCGAGTTTGAAGACAATTAAGCAACCAAGCACAAAAATAAGAGACAGGCAGGTAGCACCAGTAACTGGAAAGAAGGCATGCACACAGGGAGAAAGAGAAAGCCACACAGAGCTGTGGGCTCACCTGCCCTGTGTGGCCTGAAGCTGCTCTGTGAGTTTAGCCAGGCTAGAGCTGGAGAAGGAAACAGACAGAGAGGGAGGAGGAGGAGGAAGACATCTCAAAAGTCAGCCTTTAATTAAGCAGAGGAAACACAGAAATAAAAGAGCATGCTAGTGTCCTTACGGCGTAAGAGGAGAATTATCTGCAGACATACAGTATAATTAAGATTAGTTAAACAACATTCAGTCCAAAAGCTGCTGATAACAACTGGTTAAACACAGAAAGTCAGTGTAGCGCTGTTAGTTTCAAACAATGCATTTAGGTATTTTGTACTGGAAGCCAAAATGTGTCTTACCAGTCAGAGGAGTGCTGCGCCTCAGAGCGATGTTGAACAGCCTCCTCAGTAGCACTGCCTGCCTGTAAAAACATTCATACTTATATAGTCTTTTTCACAGATAAAGTAGCAAATCCTTGTATCTATACCCATAACATCTCTATTGTACATGGAGACACTATTCACAAGCAGTTGAATATCTTATACCTGACACACAAATTGTAACAGAGGGAAAGAATGGCCATGAAAAGCGATAGGAGCTAGGTAATTAGTTCTCTAAACAATTTTTTAATCCAGTTTAATAACCTTTGATGTTAATTTAAAACATGATTGCATGATACATTAGGTAAAATTTTGCTTGTGCTGATTTTATATTCATTATGCAAATAGAGCAAGTTAATCTAATACAACCCGCAGTTCTTTGAGCCTACCCTCAAGGTGCAGGGACTTTGACTGATTTAATCGTGTTATGTATTTATCTTACAACACTGTTGTGTATTTTACTCTATTATTGTTTTATTTTTGTATTATTTATAATTGTCTGATCCTTTTTTTGCACAGTGTGCAGTGGTTAGCACTGTCACCTCACAACAAGATGATTCCAGGTTTGTATGTCCTCCCCTTGTTAAGGCCTTTGCACACCACGTCCTACTTTTTCGTCTGAAATTGTTGCAGGCTTATAAATAAAATACAACCTCATGTTGTGTCAACCTCGTTCACACACTGACTTCAAAATTTTTGTCTGTCAATAAAGTTTAAGAACGGGTTTGATTTTCTGTGTTTTATCGCAACCGTCAAAACCTAGAAAGAGTTTTTTGACCGAGAAGCATTGAAGAAAATGTGGCGTAACCTGCAGGACACACAACATCTGCAGCAAGACAGAGAAAAAGGTGCACAGTATTCTTTCATAACTCAGATAGCTTACTTCAACAGGTCAGATAGTAATATTCAGGCAGATGATGATGACTATGAGAAGGTGGATGTAATAGAGGATGAGGAGCTCACAAATGGAGAGAGAGAGAGAGAGTGTGGAGAAAGAGAGGACAGGTCAGCCCCCTTGGGTAGCTGTGGTGCCAAATGCAAGATGCGGGCAGAGAGTGGCGACAGCCAGGTTGGCACCTCCAGTGAAGAGAAGCAAGGGAGTAAATGTCTTTCCATTCTGTCTTGCATTGCAAATTTCTGCAACAAACACCAATAAAAGGCATCGGACTGTGCAAGGTTTCTATGCATAAGGATTTTTGAAGGATCACAGATTTAAAGAATCACGTATGAAAAATATGGACTTGGTGTCACATAAGAAAGTTTCAGTCCTGTTACCGGAATTTCTTAAACAGAAGTGACAAGAGTTCGGTTGAAAAATACCAGAATTTTCCCATTAAAATTTTTCTGACTGAATCCCACTTGGAACACTACATAACACTACAAAATTGTTCCTGCACGAGCCACCTGATACTTAATGCTTCATTAACTTTTCCTGGACCTAAAATTCAATAATAATATCAACCGAGTATTTGTCTCTTGTTATTTCCCTCTGTGTATCCAACTCATCTGTAGTATTATAACTGCCTAGGGTAGAATTTATGCGTGTTTGGATCACAGTGTTACCTGTGCCTGGACCAGTTTGGCTCGCAGCTGATCAATGCAACGCCGCATTCGCTCCCTCTCCTTCTCTCCCTCGTCCCTCTGGCTCTCCAGCTCCTCATTCTTCCTCCTCAGGTCTCTCATCCCTTCCTCCAGTTTTTCTTTGTGGCTCTTCAGCAGCTGGAGGAACTCGTTTGCACCTTCCACAGGCTGAGGAAAGTAACATAAAAGTGAAAGAGCCTGGGATGAATGGATGCAAGTAGGAAGTGATGACAGGAGGGAACTGGACAGAGACAGACCACATTCACCCCCGGCTGGACTGGAGGACCGACACCAAGCAAAAAGTAGAAATACACCAACATGTGAGAGAACACAAACAGGGATTTATACAAGGAGACAGCGAGGGATTTAAAAAAAAAAAAGGATTGATTGGTGGATTAGCGCTGTGTGTTAATGCTGTGCTCCATTCAAAGTGAGAGGTTGGCACTGTTTGAAATCGCATACCAACATATATATCAATATATGTATACCAATATACATACCGATATATACCAATATATCGCATATATTATTGATAAGTGTGTCACAAAATGAGTATGTAGTGTGTTTCAGCTGCATAGTATGCGGATTTTGAGTACATGAGCAATGCCTGGATGTATCCTAGATTAGCAAGAATTTCTGAGAAGTAAACTTACTTAAACTTAAGTCAACCGCCCCAAAATCAGTGGTGGAAGAAGTAAAAGTAGTAATACCACAGTATAAAAATACTCCACTGAAAGTAAAAGTCCTGCGTTCAAAATGTAACTCAAGTACAGAAGTATAGGCTTCAAAATGTACTTTAAATATCAAATGTAAAAGTACACCTTATACAAAATGCCCCCATTCAGAGTGCTATATATATTCTACATATTACTAGAATATTATTATTGATTAATTTATGTATGCATCCTTTTAATGTTTAACTACTTAAGGAATAGTTTTTCATTTAATGGTTGCTTGGATCGTTAACGTGATTGGTACAGTCCTGTGATGCAGAGAATACATATTGACTGAGTATACTTCAGTGTAAACAGTCTACTGGTAATGGAATACTTAACCATTAATGTAGTGCTCAGTAGGCTATGCAGTACATACTGACTGAGTATGTAGTATGCAGTATGTTAGAATGCGATTTCAAACACTCACAGAGAAATTTCTGGTGTCCAACTACCATTAAGTCCAGTGATCCTGCTCGGAAATATAAGGGATAAAACATGGATGACCTCAATATTGCCTAATGTAAAATACAGTTCCCCATAACATAGCTAGTGTTATTATTAAAACATTTTTTGGTCCTAAGTGCCAGGTTTTGTATTTGCACTTCTGACTTCACAGGCCATACCATGTTGTTTTCCGAGTAGGAAGTCAGGCTCTTTAAGTTCTCCCTTAATGCAATGAAAGGTAAGGTGGGGTGAAGCATTTAACTAGAGGTGGGACGGCCACAGAATCAGTGTCAGGGATCTGATTGGGGGGACAAGCGGGATGCAGTGAGCAGGCTCACCTGGCCATTTTCCCTGCCCATTATCTCCCCCCATGCCTCTGAAAGTGAGGTGGGGGGAGAGGGGAGGGCGCTACTCAAGGAGCTATGCACACTCGCATCACCCTAGACACATGGACATACCAGTTAGATGGAAAATGAACAAATACATCAAAAATCGAATCATAAAACATCCATGATTAACAGTGCCACACATCTTACCAGGCTGCGAGGTGGCGTGGTCTGTGTGTGTTGATCCGTCTCTTCAACTCTTTTCTTCTCCCGCTGATCTAGTGTCTGAAACAAGTGGTTCCAAAATCCACAGGAGACATTTAAAAAGCGAGACAACTATTCTTCAGCAGACACATTTCTAATGTAGTTTTCTTTTTTTTGCCCACACTTTACGTGTTCTACCAGAATCCTAAACAGACATTTAGATGTGATGCTTTGTGGCTGAAAACGTAACGACAACCTTCTGTCTCTGTGATCATTCATTTGAAATGTCAATATAGCCCATGCAACTGCTCCTCTGTTGTCATTAACCTGCACTTATGTTTATTTCATCAATCATGATTTGATCCGCAGTGCAGCAACTTGGCAATGGCTGTTGGTTAACATGCAGTCTTTATGGGCTGTGATTAAATCACTATTTCATGCTTGATTTGAAAAACCAAACAGAAAAACATGTAAATGGGAACAACTATATTGTGAGTTTGGTTGTATCAAAACACAGGTGATCACAGAGAATAAGAAGAGGTAGAACAAACATCTAGTGGGCTGAGACTCAGCAAAGTAACAAAGCTGTGTTCTATTGTTAGCCAACTAAAAAGCGGATGAAAAAGAATAAATATAGTAGCAGAAAAACCATTTATGCCTCCCTAGGCTTAAATGGTTTTTCTTTCCTCGTCATTCTCTTTCTCTCTTACATGAAACAAAACATGGGAAATGCATTATTATATATTATTTACATCAACTAAGAAGTATGAGCACAAAACTACTGTAAAAATATACAGAATAAAAACAACTAACATGAGAAATATTGGTAAAAAAATGTATAATCTTTGCGTACACAAACATATTCCATCACAGGATTATAAAATATAACAATGGAAGACACAGTATGTACTAGTGGAACTAAATTGTTAAAATGCAAAAACACCTTACTATGTATGAATATGAGGATGCAGGTATTTGAATCTCATCTAGCTAACCTGTGGTCCCTCCAGTGGTCTGTTCCTTGCCGGGCGCCCCTGCAGGTCCTCAGTCTGGCTGGAGCTGCAGCAGTTGTTAGCAGTGGAGGCTGGTCCATTCACCAAGCCCTGTAATGAGTGGTTTTCCTGGGCTAGCCTCTCCACCAGGGCCCTGGCCTCCTGGAAACGACAGCTGAGAAATTCTCGTTCCTCTCTTGTCCTCTGCTGCCATCCCTCCATCTCCTCACAGCGTTGTCGTAATGCAAGATTGCTCCGCCGCAAGGCCTCTGGGGGACAGAACAATGAAGGTAAGAGGAGAAGTAGGAGATCGATAATGATATAGAGTGACACAGAGAAACTATTACAACAACAGGTAGAACTAAACACGTAATAATAATAATAATAAAATTAACCTATTCTGACAAATATTACACCAAGGTTTCTGGCTACAGGTTTGACAGGGAGCAAAGAAAATTTCTGTGAAATTTCGAGAGACTTTGGTAGACCAAAAAGAATCAAGAGAAAAAAAAATTACATTGGCAGTAACAACACATACACACATAACAACAATGTGGCCCAGGATGGAGCCTTGGGGAACACCACAGGTCAGAGGGCCAAAGAAAAGGAGGCATCACCAGTCACTATAGATGGAGTTCTCTTTAATAAGTAAGTCAATAAATAAGATCTGAACCACTCTAGAGCAGTATCCCTGATGCCAAACCACTTTTCAAACACCACAGATTTAACCAATATTGTAATATGAAACTATGTCAAATGTATTTCTAATTTTATTGTGCAGTGTTTATGTTGGGATTTCCAGAGCTTAGGGAGAGACTATGTTACCTTTGAAACATGAAATAACATATTTTCCCCAGCTAACAATCAATCTTGGTCTGGCATGACCAGTAGCTTATGAAAGCTAAAGTTAGCATACTTTAAATAAATATTGTTGTGTATCTAATAATACTGAGTTAGGTCACTGACTTTATTACTCTTTTTTACTTTTGTTACATGCTTAGCAATATTTTGGCATTTACAGTTTCACACAATTTTCAGAGCATATGCACAGATCTCAAGGGCGGTGCAGGGGACACATGCAGCTCAATATTCACAAGCACAAGAAGCACAAACTTCTTGTGTTTATTTGAACATGCACATTTGTGTCCTACCCTGCTGCTTTACTGTAATGAATGCCTCTACTTATATAATGCTTGTATTACTAAATTTTTTTTTATTATTTTCTTTGAAATCACCAATTAACACTTCAGCATTTCAACCATGTTCTGTGCCAGCCTTTGTTAAAACGTGCTATTTGATTCCATCAGTAATGCCCAGCAGAGATAAACCATATTTGACAAATGGCTGGAGTGTATTATGCTTTATTTCTCTTAATTATTATTCAATTATGAAAATACATCCTACCTCTAAGCTGCTGGTTGTCACCCAGCAACCTGGTCACCACTTCATTGGCAGCCAGCTCAGGTGGGACCCTGAGGGTCCCTCCACTCTCTTCTCCGGACATGTCCCACTGCATTGGGCCATCAGGCTGGGGCTGCACCATCCCTATAAAAAATGCAGAGTATTATCTACACATACACACCTCACAAGGCCGTTATTCAGGCGGAGCACCACTGCACCAATAACAATATCGAGCAACCATGTTATATTCAAGTCTGTTTCTCCGTAGATATACGTTTCACTTTACCTTCAACAGAGCTCAACCTTATCCCATAGAAGAAACAATAATTCTTTAGATGTCTAACCTGCTGCACCTAACCTAACCCCTAACCCCAGACGTAGAGAGGGGCGCTGCGGGCGAAGACGTCGACACAGGATCTGCATTCATCATCATAGTGACACATGGCATACCACGCCTCATCCCCGTTAGGCGGCCTGAGGTATTAACTTTCTCTTTCAATTTAATCCCTCCTCACTATCCTGGTCCATTTGTCTAAGGAGGCCTGTTGACAGGCTCTTATCTCAACACTCACCCTTGTACTGTCAGTACTGCCCTTTGTGCCGTATAACCTACATCCAGGTATCGGCGAACAGGACGAAAACATTACGTCATTCCCAATACCATGAGGCAAACAGCTCATCTGAAACACATTGCTTGTCTTATGTATTTGTTTACATCATAATCAGAAGTAAAACCACCAGTCGTCAATTTCAACTGCTGATATGACCAAAAGCTCACACGTGTAATCAACTCATATTTATTACTGCAAACGTCAACGTTAGAACGATGTTGATTTCTTCCCCACACTAAGGGTCATAACGTGTTGCTAACGTAACGTTACATACATTACATGTGCGAAAGTCCTCTTACCCTCTCTTCTTTTTCAGTTTGGTTGTCCGGAATAACAGGCTGTCACTCAAATACAACCAGTTAGTAAGCGTAACGTTATCTGTTTAGCCACCGTTAGAAAGCTGGCTGATGCTAAATAGCTCGCGGTGTAAGTTAGCTATTAGCTAACGTTAGCTAGGATAATTTAGCAACCAGTAGCTAGGTTTTCTTAGGCACCTGTTGACTGACATAAACAACGATCTACATCAACAAACTGTATATGTTCCGAAAGGCATTCTGCCCAGTTTTGTAATGTTATCCTAAAACGTGTTAAGGTGGGTTGAGGTTATCTGTCAGAGCCTAAGCGAATGTAGTTAGCTCAGGAAATACCGTTGAGTGTTTTACCCTGAATTCACCCTCTCAGGCAACACTTCCTTCCAGGCTGCGGCCAACCTCTTTGTTAAAGGGATAGTTCGGATTTTATGTACTGTGCTTGTGTGAGGTATTCATCTATACACAGTGTAGCTATGACCTACAGTCGATGCTAGTCAGCACAACCCCAGTTTGGAGAAGCAGACAGGAGTCCAACACCGAAGCCACTTTAAAAAAGTCCGGTCTGGTTTTAAAGAGGGCCATATAATAGCTTTAACTTTATGAACGGAAATTACTGTCTGATGGTAAAGCAGTGAAAATACTCTCAGTATAATGTACACTTAAAATGGTATTGCTTTTCTTAAGTGGGACTTTTTTAGGTGCCTGATATACATCTTATTGCTGACCCCTCCACAGCAGTAGATTACCTAGCTTTCACATCTGACTCTAGCCTGCTTCTCCAAACTGGGGGCTCACTGACTAACATCTACTGTATGTGATATACTGTTTATAGATAAGTACCCTATACAACCCCTCTTCAAAAAATCAAACTGTCCCTTTAAACCATACAATTTTGATCATGATTTAATGCAGCATTCAACTCAAGTCTTCAATTCAATTCATCTTTATTTAAGAAACATGGGTCCATATCAGCATAAAATAAAGTAAACACTACGACAGCATGGATATATCATTGCAGTTCACAAGTCATTGAAACACACCACAAGTGGACTGTGTATAGTGGAGTACAGTAGGCTCTTAATGGGGCTGCATTAACATAATCTGTACACACATGAAACTGATGTGCTAGTGCATTTGCTTGAGTGTAGAGTTTACAACACTAGCACTGTACATCATCATCATCATCATCATTATCATCATCACATAGATCATCCCTGATGAATGACCCAAATATATCCCTTTGTTTACCACATTTAGCACTTGATCTGACATAAAGAATGAAGGACATTTTTGCTTCTAAACTACCATGCTTTTAAATATCATGATAACATTTTTTTAGAGTTAAACTTGATGTCATATTGCACACTGTAACTTCAGCAGACTCTGAGCAGCTGTTGTGGGCCAGCACTGTAAGGAGACAGGATGACTAATTAGCATACATCAGATGGTTGACAAAAGACTTAAGTGCTGTATCATAGGCAACAGTTGCCTACAGTATAGCATTTAAGATTACTATAACCTGGATGACTAAGAATCTTCACCACCATGTTGACAAAATACTCTCTAATGTTTTTCTCTTTCTTTGCTTTCTGCATCTTACAGTTTTCTAACAGAGAATGTGAAATCTAATTGAGAGCATCACGCTGTGTAAAATTTGTTGGATGAACGTGTCATCTTGTGAGGATTACATTGCGCTACTTGTGCTTGCTAAAGTGTTCCAGCAACGGTATTTGAACAAACTAGTCACAAAAAACAACATACATCCACATGATTTGGCAGCCCAAAGCTGGATTACAGACCCCGATGCACTACCTGCATTCACAAAGAATTGTAAACTATCTCGTTTTTGGATTGAGTGCATACTTTTGTAATTGAGAGGACAAAGTGTGTACCTCAGAAGATGGCGCCCTAGTCCCACACAGTTTTGACATACCGTTATGTTCTCTGGTCCTAATAGCCTGAAAGTGTGACCTGAATGCTGTCATTTACTGTCCCTTGCTTGTTTATTCAAACAATCTGTGCAGTAAAATGTACATTTGCTTGTCTCTTTAAACATTTCTTAATTGAACACACATTAAACACACATTAGATAACAATCATCAATTATCATTTTTTAACAGCTGATGTGTAGGCATCAACCGTACAATGTGCGCAATGGCAACATACAGACACCACGAAGGACATTATCCCGCTTATACATGGTAGAAAAAGCAAAAAGCAATAATGATATGGTATAATACAAGGAAGAGAAAATAATATTTGGGGGGTATAAATCAAAACATCAAACAAATGAGATATATCTCTACAAATCTTTCTTGCAATTTTACATGAGTAATTTTTTTAAAAATCATGCGAAAATGAATTTGAAGTACTTTGGGTTGTTAAGCCTTTGCACCGGCGACAACTGTGGCCAGAGGCATTATTTTTTCAGGTTGTCTGTCCACTTGGACTTAAGGACGAACTGATCTGATTTTAGTGGTCAAAGGTCAAAGGGTCAAGGTCACCATGACCTTGCACCTATTTCATTCTTGTGAGCACAATATCTTAAGAATACTTGAGGGAATGTTTCAACCTCTGGCTCAAACATTAACTCTGAGACAGGGATGAACTGATTAGAATTTGGTGGTCAAGGGTCAAAGGCCAAGGTCACTCTGACCTTGTCCATTGCATTCTAGTTAATGCAGTATCTCAAAAACACCTTGAGTGAATTACTAAAAATTTGGCACAATCATCTACTTGGACTCAAGGAAGAACTCATTAGAATTTGGTGGTCAAAAGTCAAGGTCACTGTGACACTGTTTTGACGCTAACTTAGGAATTCATATGCTAAGTATGACAACATTTCACACAAATGTATAATAGGATAAAATTATGACGTGATGACATTCCACATCCTAAAGGTCAAAGGACAGCTTCAATGTGACATCATAATGTTCTGCAAAAAAAAAAAAAAAAACACTGGCCATTATTCAGCACCATAACTCAGGAACAGAAAAGAGAGATATTGGTCAGATACTGAAAGGTGACACTAATCTTGAGTGCCCACCTTGAAACTGTGCTGATGGTATAGATCTTTGGTGCTGTTGGGTTGAAGATGCGAACGACAGACATGGATGTAAATTCCAACTGCAACCTGACAGGTTCGCAGAGGCGCACAACCACGAGGCAGTTGGTGGTTCTTGAAGTCAAGAGGGATCCTTAAACAGCTGAATTTCAAGGGGACCACATCATCAAATCCTGCTAAAGAACTGTTCTGATGTCAAGAATCCTTCAAATTTACCAAGGACCAAGTCCAACCTTCAGAGAATTTTCAAGGATGCATGCGTGTATCCTCAGCAGGCATTAAATACCCACAATTCTTTGTGCATGATTTGCCAGACTTTAAGGCAGGGCCTCTCCAGTGATGCACACCTGGGCACTAGCCAGCCTGTCCCAATGTGTGTTTACCCAATGCTAGGAAGGAGTCTTGTCTAGCCTGTGTAGGACCAGACTTGGAAGGACCCGTCCAACCAAAGAGGCATGCCTGACTATGAGAAGCACTGACAAATTCTAGTTGTGGAGGTAATGTAGTGTATTCTGGCAGTAATTGCTGCCTGAAAGGCACAGCTCAGGGTAAATGTGTCCCATCTCACAGGAAATCCCCTTCCTTCTTCCGCATTGGAAGGTGACGTCAGCTGGCCGCCGCATCAGAGCTTCCTCTGCTGATGTGCGCAAAGTGAAAGAAGCTACATGATGCTCCCTATTCCTGCTGCTGGACTTATTTTAATGTTAGCTTGGATTTATCCAAGTTACGCGCTCTATTTCCACATAGGAGAGACCGAGAAAAAATGCTTCATTGAAGAAATTCCAGACGAGACCATGGTTATTGGTAAGCTTTTGTATGGTCGTTAGCTTGACGTAGCTAACTAGCAAAGCGAACAGCTGGCTCCAGCGAAGATGCTGCAGTGAATATGACAGTAACGACAGAAGTGCTTGGTTCGGCAGTTTAAAGAAATGTCTAATACATTGTATTTAATCTATGTTAAAGTTTTCTATAGGCTTTTGTGGCAGCGGTTTGGTTTTTTTAACGTTACATTTCGCATAAATTGTCTCAGTAAGTGGATTGAAACCCTGGTTAACATTAACATTGTATACGTAACTCAGATTTAAAGTGTAACTACTACACATCCGTAACAAAAAGGCACAGGGAACTATTAACGATTTAACCACAGAGGCACAAATGGGCTAACAAAATTTCTAGCATGTATGGCAGCATACATTCTGTCATTATGTTTTTCATCAAGACATACTGAAAAAAATGCAGTGAAAAATATTTGTTTATCTGTCCTGTCCTTCAAGGAATTTGTTAAGTGAGATTCAAAACATATACAACTGTAGATTACATTATGGTAAATACCCCCATTTGCTCTATTAATATTTCTACTAGTTGTATTGTCATGCTAATATTAATTCTATTGCTCTGTTACTGGTTCAACAGCCTTTGAAAGTCACTCTCCTTTGAGTGATGAGTGGATGACCCTATGGCATTTATCTATGTTGCTTTGCTTGCCCAACAGGAAAGTACAGGACTCAGCTGTGGGACAAGCAGACAAACTCCTTCCTCCCATCCACCCCTGGCCTTGGAATGCATGTGGAGATCAAGGATCCAGATACAAAGGTAAGGACAAGGGAGGTGATATTGTAAAACATGCACATACATATAAATAGAATCTAAGGATTTTTCTTGTATGACTCCCAGATAATCCTCTCTCGTCAATATGGGTCGGACGGACGGTTCACCTTCACCTCCCATACTCCTGGAGAACATCAGATCTGTTTGCATTCCAACTCCACCAAGATGGCTCTGTTTGCAGGAGGAAAACTGGTATGAACATAATGACTGCTTTTTTTTTAACTGGCTGGCCTATAGTTGCTCAATATTTTCCAATTGGGACCCTAATGAAATGCATGTTTATCTGTACAAACTGAGGGCTGTTCCATAAACCAGGCTTATTTTCAGGGAATTCTTTTTCATAATGAAGGTTTAGATAAGTCTGACACCTGAGGTTACAATGGAATTTTACCCTCCCAGTCTAACCTGCTTCTGGTCGGACTAGTTTTCAAGCTTTGTTTCAGCTCAGGCATAAGCAGTATTACATTTACTCTGATGTACTCTGTACTGCTGCACTATGAACATCAGTCAGTTTCTAGTACATGTCAATGTGATCACATTTTGACATTGACTGCATTAAGGACTGAAAAAGAATTGAGATTTTTAAAATTTTTTGTTCTCGTTTAATAGTCACAGGTGGTTTCAGCTCTACTGAAATTGACAAGATCTGGGGCAAGCCCAGTCTGTTTCCAGGTTGAATGACATATTTCCCTGGAATGGTGTGAAAGAAGCTCTGAGGTAGAGATATACAACAGGGTAGTTTAAATAGACACAATAAATGGCATCAGTTAAGACAAAGCTATCAGTTAAGGAAAAGTCAAGTAATAAAAGTGAGATTGAAGACGAGATTTAAAAGAGGTTCCTGAGTTTGTAGGCAGGGAGTCCCACAGATGAGGGGCCTGGACAGCAAAGGCCAGTTCACAATTAGTGACAAGGCAAGATTTTGAAACCATTACCACGACCTTGCATGAGGATCTCAAGCACCGATCAGGCTCAAAGGGAGTAACCAGATCACAGGTATAGGCAGGAGCCTGACCATTCAAACCTTTAAAAACAAGCAGTAATTCTAAAAGGCACAGGTAACCAGAGAAAGACAGCAAAAATTGGTGTGTTGTGGTTGGTACTCTTAGTACAATTTAAAATACATTGAAACACAATACATTGTTCTTGCATCAGAAAATGCATGTACAATATCGAAATTTGTGGGCGAGGTGCACAAGTGCAGATCCACACTCCCTCCAATAGGAGTTCTGTGTCCCAATTCATTTTCTAACAACTGAATTAGATTTGTCCAACAAAAGTCTCTCCAGGTTAGTGAGTTGGTAGCAGTACAAGTGAAATGTCCTAGTCTTCTAAGCTAAACCTCCTCAGGTATTTCCATACACTTTCTTCTTCCCAAACGTGCCTCATATCATTTGTTGAGTTTTAACTAACTGAGTTTTAATAATTTACTCTTAATCCCTTTATCTGTATGCTTCTGTGCCAGTGATAGCCACGGCCAGAGGCGCTATGTTTTTGGGTTGTCCGTCCAATCATCCGCCTGTCTTTCCATCTGTCCCATTCTTGTAAACACGATATCTCAAGAACGCCATGGGGGAATTTCTTCAAATTTGGCACAAATGTCCACTTGAAATTAACGATGAACTGATGAGAATTTGGTGGTCACAGGTCAAAGGGCAACGTCATTATGACCTCATGTTCTCCTCATTCTCATTAACCTGGTATCTCAAGAATGCCTTGAGGGAACTACTAGAAATTTTGTAAATACGTCCACTTGGACTCAACAATGACGGGATTAGAGTTTGGTGGTCATAGGTCAAGGTCACTTTGACATCACAAAACATGTTTTGGGCCATAAAGCAAGAATCTATACATTAATTATGTCAAGATTTTACACAAATTTCTAATAGAATGAAATGATGAAGTAGTCACCTTCACAGTGACATTCTAATGTTTTGCAAAAACACTTTCCTGGTCATTACTCAACGTCATAACTCAGGAAGAGAAGGGGAGACATTTTGTCAGGTACTGAATTGGTGGCACTAATCTTGGGTGTCCACTTTGAAACTGTGCTGATTGTATAGATCTTCTGTGCTGCCAGGTTAAAGATATGTGTGAGGCCTCCAAGTTTTTGAATATGCAGCTTCTTTGCAGCAACATTTGAAACATTATCTACTGTCATGGCTACATATAACTCTGGACAGACACAGATGTAAAATGTAACTGCAACTTGATTGGTTTGCAGATGCAAATAACTGCAAGGTGGTAATTCTAGATTTGACTACTGTAAGCATTTATATAAATCTAAGTAATTCTGGAAGAGCTCTGGTTTTGTTCATTTTTGCATACATGTTTCTTTCCTCATTTTATGTTGCTTTGTGCCAGTGAACATCACACAGTTGTCTTTACAAGTCTGTTCTTGTCATTGTGAGTTGCTGTGATCAGATCTTAAACCAAATGTGACTTAGTCTGATTGCATTAACATTATTTATGTAGTCTAATTCCAGACAGCACAACACACAACACCCCTATCAGACAATTATCTTTTTTTTTTTTTCCGTCAACAGAATACAAGCACATAGATTTTAAACTATATGTTTCCCAATGTTGCAGAGAGTGCATCTGGATATTCAGGTTGGAGAACATACCAACAACTACCCTGAAATAGCAGCTAAGGACAAACTCACTGAGCTGCAGCTGCGAGTCCGACAGCTGCTGGACCAAGTCGAACAGATCCAGAAGGAGCAAAACTACCAGAGGGTAAGAAAAAACACCAAGTTATGTGTGAGATTAAAAGGTTACTCCTAAGTTGATGAGGGTACAGCTGCTGTTTATGCCATTGGTCCTACCTCTCCGATAGACACAATCATCTGTATTAACAACTGCAGATCCTCCATAGTTCCTGTCACCCATGGTGTCCCCCAGGGTTTAGTACTTGGTCCCCTTCTCTCATCCTTGCTGCCACTTGAACAGATCCTCCACCACCATGGTCTCCAGTTTCACTGTTACGCAGATGATACTTAATTCTACCTCTCCTTCAGGACCATCACTTCTGCCACTTACTCCACCATCACCTCCTGCCTAACTGACATTAAAACATGGGTGCAAAGAAATTTTCTGAAACTAAACAGCATTAAGTCAGAAATCTTAATCACTGGCCCAGACTCCCTTATGGCCCACCAAGGATTTTGCTCCCTGTATTGATGGTTACTTCGTCAACCTGTCCACCCATGTCCACAGCCTTGGAGTTATCTTTGACCCCACACTCTCCTTTCTGCATCATATCAACCACATCAATGAAAACGCTAACACATTTTGGGTTTACTGGACCTAATTCTGCTTAACTTAGGCCTGTTGTCCTCGTTCGTGGATCTTTTTTGTGCCATCTAGTGTTAGAAAGACTACAATACAGTAATCCATGTAAAAACAAGATGGCAGCCACCTCTGCTAAGTCAGTCTGCAGTAGGGTTGGGTACCGAAACTCTGTACTTTTTGTACTTGGTACCGATTCACGTCGGTACTACAGAGTACCAATTCACTTAAAATGAATCGGTGCCAAATTTCAGTACCTGAGGTGGAGGCGGAGTGAGAGCGCATGACTCGCACCTCAGACTCAGCAACAATGGCGACAAAAAAATCTCAATAAAATGTTGAAACTGAGAAGTTTAGACTTTAAAAAGTACTGGAATAAGGTACCGTTTGGTACCGGTATCGAATTCCAGATACCGGTACCGGTACTGTATCGGTTCAATTATGAACGGTACCCAACCCTAGTCTGCAACTGACCCTGACACAAACGTGGACAAGGTGCAAAACCTGATCAAATTTAATGGTTGAAACTTGTTTATTTATGATTAATTACATTTGTAATTTGATATGCCAACAAAATTTGACCAATTTTAGCAACGGTAACAAGCTGAGATGCTGTTAATTAGGAAACACTTGTTTGAAGACATAAGGAATTTATCATCAGCTCGTTGAAGGACATTGGGGCTTTATTATCATCTCGTTTGAGGACATTGGGACTTTATTGTTGTCTTGTTTGAGGACATTGGGACTTTATTATCGTCTCGTTTGAGGATCGAGGGACTTTAATATTGTTGACAGTATTTCATTTTTTATACTTATCAGGTCCTTCTAATCCTGAATCCTGAATCCTGAATCCACATTTTGATTTTCTCTTTTTTAGAGCCCGACATTCATTAGGTGCACTATTGCACCACATTCTCAAAGCACAGAGTGTAGTCTAGGCACAGATGGAGCTGCAGAACATCAGGCGCAGTGAAAGTAAAAGTTAGCCGTTCATTGCGCTGGGATTAAATGTTTGCTTTCACTCACAAACCACTGCTCCTCTCATCCATGGATCTGATCTGATCAGCTCTGATCAGATCGACAGATCAATTATCCACCTTGTGACTCAAAACTCCAAACTGCTGCAGAGAAGGAAAAAAACTCATGAAGAGTTCCATCTGTGCTCTGATCATGGATCTGCAAAAACCTCCAAATTTAGAAAGGTCACACCTGATACCCAAGGACACACTGACAAAAAAAATGTCAGTGAGCTTTTATTCACTTGCCTTGTGATTAAATGTCTTTTTGAAGAATTTACAGTGTTTTTTTTAAACATATATCCTACTCTATGTAAGGCATCTTTGAAGACTTTGAAAAGTGTTATATAAGTCTGATTTATTATTATTGTTATTGTTAGACTGCTCTAGTGACTTCATTGTTTGTCTTGTCCTCTACAGTATCGCGAGGAGCGGTTTCGCATGACGAGTGAGAGTACCAACCAGCGTGTTCTGTGGTGGTCCATCGCTCAGACACTCATCCTCATTGTCACCGGCATTTGGCAAATGAAGCACCTCAAAAGCTTCTTTGAAGCCAAGAAACTGGTGTAATGTCTGTCTGAGCAACGGCAGCATTGGGAAACAACTTAAACATGAGTAGACAGACTTTACTGACCGAAATGAAGAGACGCCCACTGCAGTGCAGAAACATCCAGGAGGAGACGTGGTCTTAATAACAGCCATAAATGGTACGGGCTAATTTACAGAGGCAGTTATCAATCCTGGGCAAATGAATTTCTTCTTGTAAATGTTTTTGTTTATTTTTATTTTTCTGTTAGCAACAACATTCCAACTGCCTTTCTTGTTGTGTTTGTTGTGTTTTCTTGACAACACTGGACATGACATTTTTCTGTTTTCCTGTTCAAGTGAACCCAGATTGTTTTATGGTGACACCAGAGTGAACAGCCACTGCAATAGATATGTTACAAGTAGTAACCGAGTAGTTTATTGATACATGGTTTTATGTAGGCCATTGTTTGGCATTGTCATTGTTGCACGTATTTTTTCCAGGTTTTGTAACTTCTAACTGTAGGCTTTCAGCTGCTTTCATTAAGTGGTTACACTTATGCAGATATTATACCTGCCTTGATTCCTTACATGTCAGTTTGATAACACCTCAGTTAAACCCTTATATCTAGCATGTATAAGCAGTATATAAACCCTTAATAACTGGTTTATTATACAGTAATATAGTTATAAGCAGTGTTGAGGACATTTTTGTGTTTAATAATGTATTGCCTCAGAAGACAGCATTCATAACTGGTCAGTAAACCGTTAACTAATCATTAATATCACAGTATAACAAAGCTTTAACTTACACAAGATTCCTCAATGTGTTATAAAACATTTATTAATGATTTCTAAACAAAAACAAATCATTCACAAGCAGGTTTAAAACTGTTTACAAATGTCTTCAGATCTTTTGAAGACATGTTGAGGTTCATCTGTGATTTTAGAATTTGTGATTTGACAGAGTTCTTAAAGGAGCTGCATGCGATATTCAGATCATATATGATTCATAGTCTGAGCTGGGATTGTCTGCACACGGCTCTCAACATGGAGGCAGCTGAGACAGCAGCTAACGAAGCTAACTGCACAAACAGTGCTAACAATGGCAACAGTGCTGACAGAGCTGATGGTGTAAATGTGGGGTTGAACCACAGAGTGGGCAGTAACCACTGCAATATGAACGATCCTCAAGGAACAGTTCTGGGTCAGTCAAATTATGCTAAAGGGCCCAAAAATACTTATTTCCATAGACTGATATTGTGAAAGAGACGTCTGTAAATCATCTGTGGATACATTTTTGACCGACTCGTTTCACCATCAGCATTTGACCCATTCGGTCCAATAAAATTTCGAAATTGAAAATTGATTGAATCATTTTTAACTAAAAGTCAGCTGTTCGGTTGGTGGAATTCTCTGGTGCTTTTTCCTCTATGGGCCCAATAATGCAGGAGCTCTTGTTAATTTTATACCTTGGAAGCTTAACTTTTTTGTGTCATGTGCCACTGAGCAGCTTTCATAAGAACGAACAGGACCTGGCCTACAGCGCTGTATCCTGTTCCGTTATACATTCGTGGCTTGAGGGCAGTGCGGAGCGGCAGCGTTCAGTTTGTCAGTAGGATATACACACACACTGCACTCACATGCACATTGGGCCTCGCTGTCTACCACAACAAAGAACAGAGAAACTCGGATTACAGTACACACAGAGGTAGCTTGGCTTCATTCTCTGCTCAGGATGCCATTACTCCAGTGTATCTTTACACAGCAAATGGTTTGCTGCTGTATTAATGTTCTGAATGTCACATACAGCATCTTTAACTTAAGGGCTACTCACTAGTTTTCTTCAAAAGATTTCAGCCTCATCTTGTTGCCTTCATCAGCTAATAGAGAAGGGTCAGATGTGTTGAAGGATAAAGATGGTATATTTACAGATAAATAACTCATTAATAGATACATTAAAAAATACATGGAGTCAAAAAAAGAAAGAATACCTTGTTTTATATTCATATAACGTTGTCAATTACTCATATGTTTATACACCAGTTACAAATGCTTCACAGGAAAAGTTATACTTGTTGACATTACTAAACACCTAAAATGTACTTAGATCTTTTAACAATCAAAACTGTTTATATGATGCTTATAAATGTGAAATGGAGGGTCAAATGAATTGTTGCCACCCATCCTTCAACAGACTGTATATAGTTTCTTGAGTTCAGTTTCCTGTACATTTTACCAGAGCTAGAGCTGTAGATACAGGTTGTGATAACAGGATTCTACTGTGTGTTGTAAATAACAGGTATAGTGTATTGACTTTCCTGTTCATTTTCTAATGCCTTTTACACTTACTGAATGTCTTTTTGATTGTGTTACCATCTTTGTCATAGAACGTATTTATTGAGCAGTTGTGGCATGTGTTTTATTGCTGAGCTTAAGCCAAATTTTCTGTAATTTCATAATTTCATGAGCTATTTTGGGTTCTGTTTGTCAGTGCTGGGCAGCATTTTGAGACTTTGGCAAATTCAGAATAATAAAGAGTCATTCGAAGGAAATATATTGAGTCAGTGGGTTCAAATTTTACTGAAGTCCTAATTTTTTACATGGCAAATTTAGATACAAGACAGATTCTCAAGAGGCAATTTGGGCATTAAAATTATTTTCCAAGCTGATAAAAGATCACTATCAAAAAAAAATTTTCACTGTGGCCCAGAAGTCAACTCTGTGTGCTTAATAAAGAAACTTTGGCCAAACTACATTCTGTCTCTGATGTATTTGTGCCACTTTGCCCCAACTACAAGAAATACACGGCAAATGGCAGACATTTTCAACAAAACATTTATTGCTTGGCATTGGCTTTGCTCAGAGCCAGATTCTAAACCAAACAATGCTGAAACGCCTCATTAAGAACCACACGTTTATCACTGACAATGAAAGCACTTTTCATAAAGACAAGAAAACACACTGACCTTGTGACATCTTTGAAGAAACCACTGCGACACCATGAGAGCTGCAGTGTAAAAATCTACTCAAAACCAAAAATCACCACTTTGCATAGATTCACTCTTTCATCTCCAACAATATACCACACCATAGCACGGACACGAGACTGTTACACAGAAACAAAACACTTTCTTCAGGTTAACTTTTGGATTTGTTAATATCAAGAATAGAGATCTGACACATTTGGCACGCCATAAGAAACAATTTCAAACGCACAATACTATGTGTCATTATAAAGGGATAAATTATTTATTAAATCAAGTCTTTGTTTCATCTGTACAACAAAAACGGTACATTGCACTGTGGAATTCCTGATCTCTGGGACACTGTACACAATCAAGCACATTTCAGCACTGTCACATGTTGGGTTGGAAAGGTAAAAAATATCACATCAGCACAACAAATCCATACTAATCCTCACTATCTCCTGTGAAATCATTTTCCATGTCACCATGTTTTCAGTAGTTGTACATTTGTCTTTTATCATGTAGGAGAGAGTTCCATGGGAAGGAAGTCAGAGCACTATAGGTTAGTAACACACTACTTTTAAAAAAGGTAGAACTAGTTCTGTACCGAATGCCACTTTTTAATGCTTAAAAGAGCAAGGAGGGCACACAAAAAAGTGAAGAGGATTAGGCAATTATACTTTAAAATTAGGCAAGGACTTTGCAATCCTAGCTCCACATGGCTCTGTGGAAATGATCTGCTTCACTGCTCTACTCAGTCTGCATGTGAAGACTGGTTTTTTTTCTTCTTAAAGGTATTTAAGAGGAGGAGACACTTTCTTAGTGTTCATACACAGTGAGGTGCTGCATCTTCTTCGCGGCCTCTTCTGACACTGTCTTGGTTGTTTTCTCCGGGCTGGGGGCTGGGCTGGGGTTTGGAGTGTTTGCTGCACTGTTGGGATACTCCCTGTTGCCGAATATGATACTACCCACTCGCACATTGGTGGAGCCCACCTCGATCTTCAGTACATGGGAACACACATGTAAGAGCAGGAAAACACTTCAGTGAACACATTAGACAGCACGAGTCTTACAGCAGTAGTTGGTAACTTTTAGGAAAATATTTTTTGTCATATTTGCTGAAACTCTCACTATATTCTGACAGTAGTACATGAGACAGATAATATCTGAAAACTAGAATTACTGCCTCACGGACTTCCAGACTTTTATGTAGCCATGAAAGCTGACAATGTTTTAAATATGAATGTTGCTGTCAAGTAGCTACAAACTCTAAAACATAGATGCTTCACACACATCTTCAACCCTGCAGCACAGAAGACCTAGAAAGTCACCAAAGAATCAAGATTAGAGTCATCAATGAAGTATCAGTTCAGTAAACAATGTTCCAAATGTTACTGCAAAGAAGCTACATATTCTAACACTTTGATGCTTCACAAACATCTTCAACTTGGCAGCACAGAAGATCTATACAGTCAGCACACTTTCAAGGTGGACACTAAAGATTACTGTTACTGATTCAGTATCTGACCAAACATCATGTGACCTAAACCTTTAAGATATAAAATGTCATCATATCATCATGTTTATTCTATTAGACATTTGAGTGAAACGTTGTCATAATTAATGTATGAATTCTTAAAATATGGCCAAAAACATGTTTTGTGAGGTCACAGTGACCTTGACCTTTGACCACTCAAGTCTAACCAGTTCATTCTTGAGTCGATGATTGTGCCAAATTTAAGTTATTTGCTCAAGGTGTTTCTGAGATACCATGTTTATGAGAACAGACATGGTCAGAGTGACCTTGTCGTTTGACCTTTGGAGTCCAAGTGAAAGTTTGTGTCAAACTTGAGGAAATTCCCACAAGGCCCTCTTGAGATATACCATTCATGGGAATGAGGCTGAAGTGAGGTCACAGTGATCTTGGCGATTGATCATCAAATTCTAATCAGTAAATTGTTGAGTTCAAGTGGACATTTGTGCCAAATTTGAAGAAATTCACTCAGGTTGTTCTTGAGATATTGCGATGGACACAAGGTCACAGTGACCTTTGACCACCAAAATCTAATCATTCATTAAGTCCAAGGGGATGTTTGTGCCCTTTCAAGAAACTCCTTAAAGGCATTCTTGAAATATCCCTTTCAAGAGAATGGGACAGACAGAAAACCTGCAAACATTATGCCTCCAGCCACAGCTGTTGTAGGCGTGCAGGTATAAAAATCATGCTCCTCCTCCTCCTTGTAGTGCTTCTAATGGCATTTGCTAGAATCCACCACAGCTGAACAAAAACAGCCAACTAGAGCCAAGGAGTCTCTATTGCAGCAGTCAATCATGTCAATCACTGCTCGTTAGCAGCAGTCAAACTCGCCAGCACTGATCAAATATGAATCAAGTTACTGGTTGCTTATTTCTTGCCTCTTAGTGCCTTTTAGTGTACTGTTGTAGAGAAAAGTTAGGTGTCCAATATTAAGAGCACTAAATACAGATTACTCAAATTCAGTTAGTCTGACTTAAACTGAATTCAAGCAATCTGAATATATGTTTTTAAAATACTGGACACTCATATACCTTACATAATTTTGAGAATCCTCAGAACAATTAAATTAAAAACAAACTTGTCCAAAGCAATTTCAAAGAGGGGAATTCCTTCTGGCTATAATTTATTTCATACTTGTGCTTGGAAAACGTTTATAAATGCTGATAAGGAGGGATACTCACCGCATGTTCAAAATCTGTGGACATACCCATGCTGAGTTCTACCTCCTCCACAGGCAACTTCAGACTGTCACACACCTCCTGCCTCCGACTCAGCAGCATCTACAGGAGAGAAACACAGTAAAGATTATGGCTTGACCGATAACTGGATTTTTGAGGCCAACGGTGATATCAATATTGGGGAGTTTAAAAAACATCAAATAACGACATAAAAAAAACACATAACAAATGAACAATCTCAATATGGATCCCTTAGATCAGTTTTCTTTCAAAAAGCATGACCATAATAATAGCTACACTGATCAGCCACAACATTAAAACCACTAACAGATGAAGTGAATAATACTGATTGTGTCAATTGTCAGTGCAGTATTTTGATGGGAAAACCTGAGTTCTGACATTCATATGGATGCCACTTGACACATACTACCCACCTAAACACCATTGCGAATGGGTGCCTCCCCCCCATAGCAACGGCACTTCCTGATGGCAGTACAAAACACAAAATTTCTCCTTAAAACCACGTCGTTTTCATAGGCCTTTTGCTGACGGGGGACCATTTCATTTTTTTGCAGGTCACAAGTACTTCACAAGTCCTTGCACTTAAGTCCCAAGTCAAGACTGACAAGTCCGAAGTCCTATACTTTGAGTTTCAAGTCCCAAACTTATTATATTGGACTCTTCACCCAATGTAATGCCTTTTAAACAAAAGAATAATAAAGTTAGCCAAGCATTAGCTCGCTATGGTAACATCAGCCTTGACCTACTGCTCTTTGCACAACTTCAAATGCCAAACCAAGTTATAAGCTGTTGGTTTACTGTGTTATTTTGACCTGCACATTTTGTATACTGCAATTAGTTTCAGTTATATTGACCACCACGTAGTTTCTGTATGCAAACAGAATTATCTTTAACATTTTTTCGAACTGGCGCTCTGTAACATTATGTTAGTTATTCATGGTTCTCTCCTGTAACTTGATGAATGCTATCTAATCGGTTTAAACAAAGTGTATCACCTGGGGAATTCAGTGTCAACTTGTAGTGAATGAATAGTGTTTATTTTAGCTGAATTAGGAAATGAAGGGAAATGAATTGATTTTTGTCGCACTTTTTAAATAACATACTGTTAATCTTTGGGTTTGGGAGAAGGTATTAACTATTTTCAAGTCAAAAGGCTCAAGTCCAAGTAAAGTGCAAATTGAGTTGCAATTTTTTCATAAAATTTATGACTCTAGTTTGACTCGTAGCGTGAACAAAAGATCTCTGGTCTTCTGTACCTGAAAGTCCGGATTGGGGCCCAGGGTGAGGTCATAGCCATAGCGCCCGATGGTCATGAGTCCTGAGAAGTGCAGGGCGGAGCACTGGGACACAATGTGTTTCACTGTGTTCACTGTCTCATCCGGTGGCAGGCCATGTTTACCTACAACAAACATTTGACATACTGTATGTAAACAGCCAACTTTATTGATGCAGTATGTGTGTGAGATCAGCTCTAAAAACAAGAGCAGAAAAATTGTGATGACATCGACACTAACTGTGCTCTCCACTGGTGTTGATCTGCACCATGATCTTTAACCTCTGTGTGCTGGCTCCTCTGATACGCTGCCATGAGCTGTTGACCCTGTCAGCCAGTTTCACTGAGTCCACTGTTTCCACAAGGAACAGATTTGGCACGCCTGGGAACAAAAAGAAAAGACTAAGTGAGTGCAAAGCTTTTTAACATGCAGTTTGAGCAGGAGAGCTGACAATCACTCACCCAAAAGTTTGTTGACATTATTCTTCTGTAGATGTCCTATAAAGTGCCACTTAATTTCTGGACATGAGTCTAAAATCTTGAGGAGGGGAAAAAGATACCTGTCACAGACTGAGGTGGGGAAAAAAAACAGCTTCTCCCTGTAAAATACATATAAAATATGTAAACCTACCAGAGGATCTGAGGCTTTGTCCACAAGTTCATTAACCTGGAGTGGAGATAAAGGAAGAGGTCAGTCTCAACATCATTTCCCACCTTTATTCCCCTGAGAGTTTGACGTTTATGAAATGACTCTTGGAAAGTTTGGAGTGATGCAGACCAGCAGCATTTTATACTTACATAATTTTCTCCAAAGTTACGCTGCCCTTGTCTGTAGGCCTCCACGACCATCTCTGGGGGTTTGGTCTTGCTGACAGCTACGAGGCGGGGCGGCACGGCTGGTAGTGTCTGAGGAAGGACGACACATGCTAATGTTTCATCTATATCAGGAGAGAGGGTCAGTGTGTGATGCAGCATGTTGGCTCTAACAGAACAGTGACTCAGCCCTGTCAGGATCCTGCAAAACACTGATGAAACTAACTGTTTCTGCAGCTATGATGTTCTTACAGGTCATACAGTCAGCTCCACTAATGATGTTGGAGAGATGCTGTGCATTCCTACATGCTTTGACCTAGATATCAACCTTGATGCTATTTTAATAGGGGAGCACTTCATGAAAATGTCATTTTCACTAGTGGACATCCTTCACAGAGCTGTGGTGTGAGGGGAGGTTGATCAAAAGCCTAAATGAATTGCCTACAAACATGCCAAATGCCAATTTTATAAAATCGTAATTGAAGGCATCATTTCTATTCAACAGCGTGCATGCAGATACAAGCTTGATCATCCTGTTCCCACGCATGTTATGCTGCCACTAATAACCATGCGTGGTGTTATGAAAGTGCTGCCACAAGCCCGACTGACTCCCATCCAAAGGTTGAGATGTTTGGCAGCCTTACATAACGAGTCGTGCTGCTGCAGCACGACCTTTTTCGGACCCCGAGTGTGGAGCGACGGCAGCCGTGTTCGCCATACCGGGCTGCAGTTACCTTGGGCCGCCTTGCCGCCGCCTGGTTCACCCGCTCCACTACCGTCTGTAGCGCCTTCCCAACCTCCTCCGACATTGCTAGTTTCCACATACCGTCAAACGGCTACGACATACAACGTAAAGAAACGTAGTCCACGATGACGACAATCAGCTTTCAAAATAAAAGTCCACCCGAGGAGGAAGTGTGTCCTTCAGACAGCGCCCTCTCTTGTTCTTGTTTAAGTATTACAGTCCAGTAGTCTGAAAGAACATTACACTTCTGCACCTCCTCTTGGTTGTTTACAGGGTTTAGAAATGATGGCCTGTGAAGGAAGACTTTGACCAATCACAGGTCGTATCACAGAGAACAGCTGTCAATCATCAACATTCAATCATCACTTAAAATGTTATCAGAAACATATTTTAGTGCACTGTTTAGCTGTAAAGTGAGAGTTTGTGACCCAGGTGCCATGGAGTGCTACAGGGATGGCTGGCTGTTTGTTGTGGAAGTTAGCCTCACCCTGGTTACCTCATCAAATAAGCCTATGGGATTTTTCCATTGGATTTTAGATTACTGCAGAAGATAAACTCTGTGACAAACAAATGTTTATGATACCTACACATTTTTGCTCAGCAAGATATTCTTCACAAATGATTCTAAAGATTTATGATGATTTTTTTTCCCCTCTTCGCTGACACTACAAATCCTTTCTCTTAAATCTTATCTCATGAACAGATACTGTAAGTGGGACACAAAAGCCAACACGGCTTTACAGCTTTGAACTTAAAATCATACATTTCATTCTCTAAAATTACTAATTTTTGCCTTGCAAACAATTACAAATCCAGAATTCTCAAATCCTCAGATCTAAAAAAAAAAACATAACTGCAAATAAACCCAAAAAAACTGCTCAGTATAAATGATTTAGGATTTCTGAAGCGCAAATAAAATCACCAGAAGAAAGATAACAATAAGCTATAAAAGCTATAAACAAACTACGCTACAGTCACATAACTTCATGTCACTACCACAACAAAGCTGTAAAGCTGTGTTCAGCGTGATGATGTTCTGTAGTTTCATTTAGCCACTTGATAGCAACTGCATTGTTTAAGACAATTGAAAACTTCAAAAATCATGAGCAGGGAATTTCCTCATCTAAATAATGTCATAGAACAAAATGTGAAAATCTCTATCTTGTGCTGACCACAGATCTTTTTTAAGGCATCTAACCAAAACCCCATTAAAAAAATTCACTGACTGTAAGACAAGGAAAACAGTGGTGCCAATTCACTAATTCATCCCCGGGTTTTTAGGGCTCTTTCCTGCACCACTTTATTTTGGAAACAGTAAAGCAAAAAAATGGCAATACAGTAACACTCTTGATACATATTTGATCAGTGCTGCCTTGTTTGACAGTTTGACTGCAGTTCACAGGCAGTAATTGACATGACTGACAGTTGCGTTAGAGACCCATATTGTGTCATTAGTTGTTTTTGTGATTCTTGCAAATGCCCTTAGGAGCACTATGAGGCAGAGAATGATGTAGAAGGATGTAGTAACAGATGCATTAAAAAAAATTACTTTTAGTCTTATGTAAAAAACATTTTTTACAGATAGTAGCTTTAAATGTTTGACCGAATTCTCATATTAAGTGCAAGGTTCATATTGTCATTAATGTACTTGTTATAAAAGCAAAGCCATAGGCTCAGTAACGTGAATAGAAAATGGGAGGTTGATGTCATGCTTATTAATTCTTTGGACAGTGCAATTTGTTATCTGTGCCTGCTACAGTGATCAAGCAGGTATTACAATTAACTACATAGATCTATTTCACTTGGCTGCCCAAGGCTGGATTACACACCCTAATGCACTGCATCCACTCACAAACCCAGGCACAACATTTTGGGACTGAGTGCATACCGGGTGCATACATTTTGGTAACAGTACAAAGTAAACTGAATACACAAATGCAAAATACAAAGAAAAACTGATTTATTCACAAGATCACGCAATTCAAAATACATCCAAACAGAAACATCTGTCAAAATCAGATAGACATGTTACAATTCAAAGACACACAACTCCTTTGCCTCTTTCAAACAAGTAACTAAAAGGGATAACAGAATGTGATAAAAAGGTGTAGATCATTCTCTTCTCCATCTGCAGCCGTCTCCTCCTCTCTCATACTCTCTCCAAGGCCTCCAACATGATGATGCTGTTTCCCCTGATGACCTATGAGCCATGAGACCACGCAGAGTAAACACACTACATTTAAGACACACTTTTGAGAAGTTTCACAGTAGATACAGATGAACTTTCAAATGAGTCAGAATAGAGCTCCTCTTATATCACCAGTACCAGGGACGTGATACTGTGAATCCTGGCTTACAGGAGGAATTAATGATACAGTATGCAATGTATTTTAAGACAAACTTTTTTTAGACATCATATTCACATTTCACTTCAGATAACTGCATGAGGCATTCTATACACAGAATTTACTTGCCCAAGGTGAGCGTTACTATCGAGCCCTGTGACAGGAACAAAATGCTTTTGGGGACATACACCACCAAGTAGAGTGCACTGAGGCCTATACATTTATATAGATATTGTGCATTTTTTTCCCCCCATTGACCAATCAATTGGTTGAAGAGTAGGTAGAGTTTCAGCTGACCAAGATTTATTGGGTTCACTACGGCCTTACTGAATGCTGCCAAAATATGGGTGACCTAGACTCAAAGCTGTGGCTGAATGCATCTTGTAGACACAGAGGTGTTGAGTTGCTGTTGCTCTGCTAGTGCTACTTTCACTAACCATAATGTCTTGTTCCGAAAAAGTTTTGTCACATTCCCAGTAATCAAAATCTGAAGCTTAGGAAAGTCTGGAGACATTCTTTACTTTATGTTACTGTCAACAAATCCCATGAAAAGATCCAAACCGTGAATGGATTGATGCTACTAGCAAGTATTGTTAATATATTCAAAACCTAATGTACCGGTATCTTATTCCCTTGTGCCATAGTGCTCCTTCGTTGTTCAAATACGTTGCTCTTTGTTCTTCATGGATACATGCCAGAAAAACAAAGTTGTCTTAACAAATTCAGCCTTACATGTGGTGAGTTATTGATATAAAAATGGTCATTTGGGGACTTGTGTTTTCCTTTAACTAAGAGATAAACATTCTACTATATTGTGAGCAAATACTGACTTGAGCCATTGTGGTGCTCAAGTCAGAGTTTGGCTCACCAAATAAAATGGCAGAGGATAAATACAGTTAACTATATTTAATAAAGGGGGTGACTTCTGATTTCTGACACAGCCCTGTTCTTTTAATGGAAAAAAATACAGAATTGCAGCACTAAGATACTGACCACCATGCCAATGCTGTTCTGTTGTCCTCCTGGGCCCATCTCCAGAGAGTCGTCCACCACCAGGTTCATAAAGGGGTCGAACCCACGCAGGATGCCCTGCACATGTCTGCCTCCATTCAGCTTCACTAAAGGACAAAAGAAATCACTGATGAATCTTTTATGTTGTGTTTAATCACTGTTCCTCCTTGGTTTAGAAGTCCAACTCGGTTTCATAGTATGTTCTGCAGACAGTGCTACCCCTAGACAACCCTCCTATTCTGAAGTTAAGCTGTGCTTAAGTGACACATTATTGTGCACTTGATACTACAACAGGAACCTGTTCCTATTTAAATCTGCACAGATTTTGATGCTAAGCTTCCAGTTTATTATATATTTTTTTTTAAACCAGTGACTGCTGATTGCCTCTGTTCTTTCTCTCTTTCTACCCTTTCAGTTGTCAGTCTGGTTGAACCATTGTAAAGTTTATTGTTCTACAGGTACAAGACCAATCCTTTATACAAAAAGAGGACTTTCTACATTCTAAAAACATGAAAGCCAATTCAAAATTACAGATTAGTCCTCCCAGCCATCTAACTGTACACAATCAGCCTTATGAATGCTATATGCAATATAATAATGCATACATTTCCATGGAGGTGTGGCTGAGGCAATACATTGAAATCACCCATTTTAATGCACTGCAACAGTGACATTTTCATCTTTGTTGTGGGCCTTCAAAGTTACTTTGTTGCAAACATGATTTCAGTGTGCACATCCTAAGAGGTATCAAACATCCATACTGATGACCAACAACCCAGAAATCAAACAGACACATCTGACACATTTTCAGTTTAAGAAAAGGTTCGTTTACAAGTTCTTTTAAAGGGGAAATCCACCCATTTTCAAAATTCATGCATTATTTCTATTATCTAAGACAAATATTTAGTAAACGTGAACAACCTTAATTCAAATTTGTGATGTAGTAGTACACTAAGTGTGGAGCTGCTCCATAGACAATAAATTGGGAAACATGTTCTAGATGACACTGAGTGTATGGGTACATTTTCTGTTTCAGAACTGAGAACATTATAATGAAGATCAATAGAATATTAAAATAATCTGTGGGTCCGCAAAATCAGTCTTCCCATTCATTGTCTATGAAGCAGCTCCAGATTTTATACTTGCTGACATCAAAAGTTTGAAACTTCCTTCTCTGGTTTCCGGCCTTGAGAGAGAGAATAGCTCATATTCACAAATATTAACTGAACTTTCCTCAGACATGGACATAGTATATTGGAAGTCTTGATTAAGCAGGGTTCCCCTTTAAACTGTTATTGACTCAACCGAGCATCATCTTTCTTTACTCACATGAGAGCTTCTTGTCCATGAACCTGAAGAAAGAAAAACAACATTAACTCATGTTAAAAGCTTACAGACGATAGCTACATAGCTAGCAGTCAGACAGGTTAGCTTGTGTTAGCTTGTTTCCATTGCAAACAATGTAGCAGGGTTGCTGTACGGGTACGCTACCAATCCTTTTAGAATACAAAGCAAGTTTAATTACAGAGCAAAGGTTTATTGAACAAACCCGACAACTTACTTCTTCAACTCCGGTGGATGTGCTTTACTCATTTTGTCTTTATTTTCTATATACCGACACAGTTCGTCGTACAACAGTCGTTTCACAAACCGCGGAAGGAAAGCGTGCGCGGGGAGACCGGAAGTTCACAGCAAAATTCCATCATGGACTCTGTGTGCACACCGCCCCCATGAGGCCAGGAGGAGCACAGTCGGCTTTTTCTCATGTTGTGTAAAAAAGTA